GCCTTGCACAGATCTCTGTTTGTGTGGATCTGAATGTGAAAACGATGCAGACTGTATTTCTGAGCATGTGGAATAGGATAGTGAAAGTGAAGATGAACTGTACGCCAGACTGAAGACATATAATGCAGATGCAATTGGCTAAAGTGACCGCGTATGTTTTGTTTTCCCAAATATTTATGTAGTATAATTTGATGTCTGTTTAGTGTTTTTCTCCTCTAGTCTAATGTAATAAAAGGGACGCCGACACCCACGCCCATGCACGCCTAATCCGACGATAGCAAACCATTACAACGGGGATCTTGAAAATTTACCTGTGGGTTCCTGTGTATTTACAGTACCTGTCAAGCGACAAATACTCCAATTCGTCATAATTCGTTATCCCATCGAGGGTAACTATATCCCTGCCTATACCAAATGCCATGAAGATAGATCCGTCCGTAGAACTGACTTGACTACGCCCATATTGTGAACTAGCAAATCAGTGGAAAAAGTGCCTCAGAATATACTCTCTACAGCAAAGAGATGATGTTATATGTACAGTCAGTTTAGCGTCGTTGGGTGCATTGTAGTGTGGGTTGGCATCTGCGTGGGCTGGTATCTGCGTGAGCAGGCGACGACCGTACTGGGCGCGGCTGGGTTAATTGAATGTTTTTTTTTCTGTAGTCGTACGGGTGTATAGTGAATTCCCTCCCCCGCGGCATCTCTACTTAGAAATATGGATAACACATATAACTTCAGATTACGTCTTTGATGAATAAATTTAATTTGCCCATATCTCTTTCTATTCCCTCTAACTAATATAATAACAATAATGGGTACAGTACAAGTAAGTAAAGAGCCAAGTGAACCACTGTTAATCAAACTACCGTACCTGCACACGAGCAAATAAAGTAAGTGAAACACTACCTTATGTTATGCTGTACTTTGAAAAGGGATAAGGTTAAAATATACAATAATCAATAGTTTATATCGGGTTTAAACGTCACTTAATAAGTTGTAATATCACCTCAAAACTTATCATGATTAACAAAACCTAAATAGTATCTAGTCCGTAAACTTCCTGGCAAAATCGATTTGAGGAAAGCAATAGAAAGATAACCTAAAAATTGCTTCAGGCCACAATTATACATCACGGGTATCCCTCCTGTACGGTGTGTTGGCAATCAGAGTGTTAAGAAAAGATTAATATAATCTTTCTCTTTTTTATTTTTAATTTCGTTTTCCTACTATTTTTTTTGCACCCCCCCCCCCTCCTCCCCAGTCCCGTTGTGGGTCGATGACCTGTTCCCGGGTGGGCTATTCCCCATTAAAAAATAACTAAATAAATAAATAAATAAAATATCGTGGTGGCCATTTAGAATGACGTATTGTCATCTTGAAATATACAGTACGTTGCAGGAATAAACCCCGAGGGTGACTTTCCTTTAAAGTTCTGTGAAAATACCACTAGGTAACTGTCTAAAAGATGAATAAATAATAAAATGTTCAAGATGGTGACCATACTGGAAAACTCATAACCTAGAATATTGGTAGTCTACCTTCGTCTCATTTATTACCATGTACCTAAACTTGCCGTCATCGTGAAAACTTGACAACAACAAGAACAAAAACAACAACAACAACAACAACGATAATAATAATAATAATAATAATAATAATAATAATAATAATAATAATAATAATAATAATAATAATAATAATGATATTATTATTATTATTATTATTATGATTATTATTGTTATTATTATTATTATTATTATTATTATTATTAATGAGAGGCCTCTAATTAGAGACAAGAGACAATATCACCCAAGTTGTCAAAAAAGGTGGCGACACCATTCAGTATACAGTATTACAATAAAGAAAGACATACATCAGTAGTAGAAGCCTCTCCATAAGCCCGCGGGACCCAGCGTATTGGACCAAGGTAAATATTTACCATATTTAAAGAAAATAGAACCAAAACTAACAGAACGGAATTCAGTTGTAACCATCTGGAGAACAGAAGAAATACAACAAAGATTTGCCTCCTTCCAAAAGTTATAAGTATATAAGGAGGGAATGAGCATTAATTGGCGTGTTTACTTTGACTGAAATCAATAAGATGGATCTAAGTGAGACTAAATAAAAAGGAACATATTATCAGACGGGGAAATACAAATATAAGTGGAATGAAAAAATCGTGAAAGCCAAGTATGGACACGTAGAGCTGCGATGCTTGGAAGAGTACGAGGTGTTATGTATTAGAGTGAGACTGGGAGCAGTAAATGTTATTTTTATAGACTAATAAACGCCATGAATAAATTAACCACAGATTGGTATTAATGTTCACGAGCAAGACAGAGATAACCCCCTACGGCCAGGGTGGTGTTAATAAAAATGTGGGTCTTTTTTAAAGAAATGGCAGAGAATGTTCAATAGAAAACGGAAATAAATTTTGGGAAATTAAAATAGGTTTGGAAAAGAGATATAAAACTTATGATATAGACGAGTAAGAAAAGTAAAATGAAACGCTGGGATGAAGACACATAAACAACACACACTCGAGGTGCATAAAACAAATTATGCAACAGGTAGGCATTTATGAGAGGACGAAACACAACTAATATAAAGAAAGTGATGCATGACTGGGTATTGTACACAAATATTGAAAGAAGATAGAACATACAGTATATATATATATATATATATATATATATATATATATATATATATATATATATATATATATATATATATATATATATACATATAATCAACGACCTCACCAGCCAGGACTCGAACCCTTGACCTAATGCATGGGACCAGGGAACACTACCGACCATACCACAAGAGCACTTCCGACCATATCACAAATTCCGTGTGTTATATGGACTAAAAATGAAGTATATATACATATATATATATATGCAAGTAAATCACTGTACGTACGCGTGATCCAGGTATATGCTGATAACCACAAGGAAAAAAGAAAACACGAAAGCGCTTGGGAACTTCGTGTTTTCGTTTTTCCCTGTGGTTATCAGCATATATATATATATATATATATATATATATATATATATATATATATATATATATATATATATATATATATATATATATATATATATATATATACATATATATATATATACACAATACCTCAGTAGTCGGGAATAGAACCCTGGACCTCTGCGTGTGAATAGGGATATGGACTGATGATATATATATATACTGTATATATAAAAATTGGTAGGAAGGTGCCGGTGATTGTTCACTGTCTCTCAGCCTTCCACGAAGGTCGGATCGACCCCGCAGGGACCAAGCATGAGTCCCCCACTGATGGGTAGGTCCACAGTTTTGAAGTTAGAGAGCTCACATTTAGTAGGGATGTGCAGTGGAAGTAGGGGATAGTCGTGCATTATCTCCTAACCTTTCACAAGGATCTAGAGTTTTGAACACAAAGCCAAAATTTGGTAGGCAGCTGCGGGCGACTATGGAAATGGTTATGCACCATATCCTGTATCTCCTGCATGGTTCTTTGAAAATGATAAGTTGAAGTACTGTAGATTCTAAAGTCATATGAGGAGGCTTGAAAGGTAAATATTTATGGAGTTTATTTATAATAACGTCCATTACAAAAATAAATAGCTGGAACAGATTAACCACATAAAATGTGATAAACACTACGGTATAGTTCTATCAGAGACCAACAGTACAGTTGGTTGCTGTACTTGAATCACCATCTGGTGTGAGGTGCTATAATTTAGTAATCAGCATCGAAGATAAATATTCACAATGGTTTTGGGAATACGAAGATATGAGTGAAAGTGTTGATGCGGTAAGTTAATATGGTCTGATCAGGGGTATTGTATGTAAAGGGTGTCGGGGGTGTTAGGTCGTCTTGCCATATATTCCCGAAATTTCTGGGTTTCTGTAGTGAGGGTGAGAACTGAGGGTTCAGTAATGTTTCATAGTTTTGTGATAATGAAACTAAAATTTGGGTAATTAATTGGGTTGATACCCTATAGATAACTCGGTTACACACAGGCAATCAAGAGGAAATTGTGCGGATGATGTCATCAGGAGTTACAGGATTTTATTGCTTAAATATGGAATAGAAAGACAATGAAAAACATTAAAGCATCAACGACTTTAAGATGATTATCTTCAAAAGAAAGAAGGGAATCGACATGATCACATATTAATAACGGACAAGCATGTAACAGTTAGAAAACTAACTTTGATAATTGTTAAAGAAACAGTGTGAATAACCTCACCCCAATGAAAGACTCAAATACAAGCTTACAGTATCCTTTATTCATCAATTTTCTTAATGGTCTTCAGGAACTAAAGCAATACCTCCCTCGGGTTTTCTCAGCACAATAACGAACTTAGTATAAGGAAATATAGTTACCGTGGATATATTAATGGCACCCCAAAAAAAAACTCTTAAAACCGATCAAATTATTTGATGAAAATTTTAAAATTAAAGACTCGAGATAAGCTTAGAAATTTTATAAAACAGAAAAGAGAGTATATAATTATAATGTTTTAGGAGTGAACATTAGTAGAGGGTGTGACTGACTGCTGCAGTAGAAAGATGCACCACTATAACAAACTATAGTTAGTCATACATCACCCTTAAAAAATAAATTGCTGAACTGTATACAAGTGAGAAAAAACTATTGTGTACCAGACATATCAACATACGATTAAAATCTCTGTATCCTGGAGTGTGTTAATGTTGGAAACAGAGGCTGGCAATGTAGATTTACATTAAGCTACCACTTCTTATCCTTACAATATTTCATTTACTGCCATAGTACCTATATATATATCAACTACTACTACTACTACTACTACTACTAATAATAATAATAAAGCGTAAAGGAGGAATGAAAGGGAAACACCAAGCGCTTGTTACAGTAAGTGTTCCTATGTATTGAAAGCATTATTTTCCAGTATCCCTGCCATTATACAGAGGCAAGAAAGTCGGTAGTACGAACAAAGCTTACCCATATTTGCTGGGGTAGGTGGTCCTCCAGGACCACTTGCTCCCATTATCCCTGGGCCAGGCGCTGCTCCTCGACTTCCAACGGGACCCATCATTCCAGGTCTAGGGCCGCGGGGCCCGCCCATCCCATTTATTGGTAACCCACGTGGTCCGAGAGGACCCATTCCTGGACGGGGGCCCATGCCTGGCGGCATACCCCGAGGACCACCAGGGCCCATACCAGGAGGCATCCCTCTGGGGCCTGGGCGCATGCCGGGCCTGGGGCCCATTGGTCCCCCCATCCCTGGAGGTCTGGGACCCATGCCTGGTCCTGGTGGACGGTTAATGCCAGGTCCCCCAAGACCATTAACACCCATGGGACCTCCAGGACCAATTGGTCCACCTGGTCCGCCAGGCATTGTTGCCCCACCAGGACCCATAGAGCCACCATGACCCATAGTGCCACCGGGGCCCATAGAGCCACCATGACCCATAGTGCCACCAGGGCCCATAGAGCCACCAGGACCCATAGTGCCACCAGGGCCCATAGAGCCACCAGGACCCATAGTGCCACCAGGACCCATAGTGCCACCAGGACCCATCGTGCCACCAGGACCCATAGTGCCACCAGGACCCATAGTGCCACCAGGACCCATAGTACCACCAGGACCCATAGTGCCACCAGGACCCATTGAACCACCAGGACCCATTGAACCACCAGGACCCATTGAAACACTAGGTCCTCTCACACTTCCAGGACCCATTGGTCCGCCAGGACCCATTGGTCCGCCTGGACCCATTGGACCACCAGGCCCCATTGGTCCGCCAGGTCCACCTGGAGCTCCTGGTCCACCAGGTCCCATACTTCCTCCAGGTCCAGGAGGTCTGGATCCTGTCATGCCGGGCACTGGAGCACGAGGGCCTCCAGGACCAGTCATCCGAAGGAGTCCAGGGCCTTGGGGGCGCGGCGCCCCCGGCACACTGGTGCCCCCTGCTGTGCCGGACGTGGGTTCTTCATTCCCCACGAGGGCATTCAGCATTTTGTTCGCAAAACTGAACATCGTCACTAAGAATTATCCGTTTTTACTATTTCGGTATTAAACATCACAGTGTAGCACGGGCGAAAGGGACACTATATAGAAGGCGAGACAGAGGCTGGGTGGAGCGTGGGAGCTGCTGCCACCACCTCGGCCGCGGCTCTGGCGACGGCCTCCTGGATCAATATGGCGGCGGCCGTGTCCACTATTATGCGCGGGGGAGACAGCTCCTGCGCAACATTGATCTCAGCTCGCCTCACGCACGCCCGTCGTCAAACTACACACGCCCACTCCTGCAAACTATAACACACGCACTGCATGTGTCTATATTTAGCACTCTAGAGTATACGAAAATAAAATGTAGAAAAGCAAGATCTAATTGGATTCCAGGCCGTTTATTATCAAAATTGTACAAATAATTTATCTCTTTCTGTTCTTGAATATTATTTTTTTTAATCATCCAAAGAACATTACATTTATCTCTTTGCTTATTAACAATATTCACTTAAATTTAAGACTGAAATTAAAATACTGAGTAGGTCTAACATTTGTGAAGCAGAATATTAAATAAGATTCGCCAGATATACTTTTTTTTATCTCTAACATTGGCTTATTTTCATACCCATCATGCAGTTTATGTTCATGTGAACCTATCAAAGGTAATGAAAATATCTAGATGTATCAGTTGAAGAGATGTTTAACCATATACACCGACTCTAGTGCTCTAGTGTTTATAATAGTTCTATTCTCATTCATGATTTTTTTATTATCATTCATAGTAGCAAGAAAAGAATTAATTAGCTAATTGTAGCCTCCTTTGATACCAAAATTTATCTTATTCACGTTTCCATTGTGGAGTTACATGATATATATATATATATATATATATATATATATATATATATATATATATATATATATATATATATATATATATATATATATATATATATATATATATATATATATATATATATATATATATATATATATATATATATATATGCTGATAACCACAAGGAAACAAGAAAACACGACATTCCCAAGCGCTTTCGTGCATAATCTCTTGTCCTTCCATGAGGGGCGGGGCAGTTGGTGGTCCCCAGAACGCGGTTCGGATCCATTTAAACACTTTTGAAGAAAGACAGCTAAAATTTTGTAGGGAAGGATATGTAGTTCAGGGGATGGTAGGGATGGCCAAGCACCATCTGTTGTTTCATCCAGACGAGGCAGATTACTCACCTATTGTATTTAATTCTATGTTTTAGGTCTGATGATGGCAAGAGATTTGTTGAACCATTACAAAGTGAATGTTGCTCTTTATCCATACGTTGGTATGGATAAAGAGCAAAGTCAATTGCATCAGCATATATGCTCAAACACACACACACACACACACACACACACACACACATATATATATATATATATATATATATATATATATATATATATATATATATATATATATATATATATATATATATATAAAAAACACCCTGAAGATGAATTATATAGTTATATATATACATATATATATATATATATATATATATATATATATATATATATATATATATATATATATATATATATATATATATATGTAGTCAACACCTCACCCAGCCAAGATTTGAACCCACGACTGTGACCGGGGAACGCTACCTCTAGACCACCAGGATACTAAAAGCAGTCCTAGACTCTGTTATATTTCACACGAGCTTATGGCGCTATGAACCTCTAATGGGGACTACCCGTATCACTTAGGTGGTCAGAGTAAAGTTTTACCAAATCCGGCTTCGAAACACGAGGATCCATATATATTTCATTAGCCCAATAAAGCATGTGGACTTCTACATATAATCAACACCTCACCCCGCCAGGATTCAAACCCAAGGCCCACGACTGTGACTGGGGAACGCTACCTCTAGACCACCAGGATACTAAAAGCAGTCCTTTGCTGTATATATTAGCCTTGTTAGTAACTACTCCTGAGTCTGTTCTCACCCCTAAAGATGTGATTTACACGAAAGCACTTGGGAACTTCGTGTTTTCTTTTTTCCTATATGGTTATCAGCATATACTTGGGTCTGGTGCATCTAAGGTGATTTGTTTGTTCAAGGACGTCCATCTTACCATATCCAGACCCCTATCCACCTTTAGTTTGTTTACTCTTATCCCCCTCCCCCCACAACGAGGCCAGGAGGGGATATGAGTAAACAAATTAAAAATTAGAGGAATAAAACCATAGTAATCTACGCCACGAAGCTGACGGAAAATCTTTTTTTTTCAAGTGAGACAGATTGCAAGAGGATGGAAACCCAGAAAAGGGCAAAGTATTCCACAGTTTGGCTGTGTGAGGAAAGAAGGATGCACTATAACGTGTTACTCTATCATGACCGACATCCACACAGAAACGGTGGGCACTGTCATATTATGGAATAAATTATGTTTGTGTTTACCTTTACTCTAAATGTTCTCTTGTTCTAATTGGGTTTGGTTTTGTTCTGTTGCAGATGTATATGGATTTATGAGTTGAATAAAGCCTCGATTACTGAAGGTGTTTGATATCATACGACAATTTATTCAATTCATATTCTACTAGCAGCATGGAACGCATACTCTGCCCCGACAAGCTTTTTGATCCAAATTCTCCAGCTGCTAAGAAGGAATACAAGCATTGGCGTAAAACTTTTGAAAACTTTATTGATGAGTGTGGAGACAGTGCCTGACAAACTACGATGTTTGAAAAAATATGTGTCTGCTACGGTGTATGAATACTTTGCTGATGCTACGGAGTTTGAAACCGCTATACAAGTGTTGAAGAAGGTGTATGTGAAAAAGAAAAATGAGATATTCGCCAGACACCAGCTCGCCACAAGACGTCAGCGTCCTTCCGAGACACTGGATGAATTTCTTCGCGACTTGCACAGACTCAGCAAAGATTGTACTCTAAAAGCTGTCACGGCTGAAGAATATCGTGAAGAGTTAGTACGGGATACCTTCAGCAACGGACTGTCTTCTGCAAATATACGTCAACGTCTATTGGAAAATCAGGCTCTCACACTCTGTCAAGCCTTTGATCAAGCTAGAGCCTTGGACCTTGCACAGCGTACTTCGGAAGCCTTCCAGCCACTAGGCCCTGTCATTGCAGCAGCTTCAGGATGTGTGGAGGAAACTGTTAAGTCTCCATACACTAATCAACAAGATATACATCCAGTTTAGGACTCAACACTTGCTAGTATGACCACGAAGAAACGATGTTGGGCACTGGGCAAAAGTCTGTCAGACTAAGGGTAAGAAACAGGTCACGGCATCAATTTCATCTCCTACTCTTTGTGCCATCACAGCTGTTGTTCCTCATTGCCTGAATTGCTCTGCTACAAACTTAAAGGTAAATGGAAGACGAATCTCCGGCCTTGTTGATTCGGCAAGTTCTGAGAGTTTCATTGATAAGAGAGTGGCCCATCGGCTTAAGTTTCACATCAAACCCGTTTCCCAAAGTATAACCCTGGCAATGTCTTCTTCAACGGCTTCTGTGATAGGTGAATGTACGGTGGATCTCTATGTGAATGACAGTCGTTATCCAAACACACGTCAGGGCGTCATTGAGAATCTTTGTGGTGATGTTATTCTCGGCATAGATTTCCAAAAACAACACTTCTCAGTTACCATAGAGTATGGAGGACCCAGACCTGAGCTCAAGATTTCCAACATTGGTAACAAGCCTGTATGTAGCCTGGCATCAGAAGGTATGTCAGAACCACTGTTATTTGCAAACATGCAAGGAGATGCAAAGCCGATAGCCACCAAATCTTGGAAGTTTAGCCCCGATGACCAAAATTTCATTACCAAAGAAATACAACGCTTACTGTCCGAAGGCATCATAGAATCAAGTACATCACCTTGGCGTGCACAGGTGGTGATTGCAAGAGATGATTCAGGCTGTCACAGAAAACGAATTAATGCTCTGTTAAGTCATACCCATAGTAGAGTAATCACATGTGTCCTCAAGTTGAAAATTCCCTCTTTTAGAAGCTTAATTTTATTACAGCGTAAATGTGAGTGACTCATATATCCATGCAAATTGTAAATCATTGTATGGAAGCTTGCCAAATAAATGTAAGTGCAATTATCTGCCCGTATCTGTGATCCTATCTTATTATTACTAAAGGTAATGACTGATTGGTTATGACAAAGTATAACCAATAACTTAGATGGATGTTGGAAATTAATGGAACTCATTAAATCATCATTTATCAAGTATAAATCATGGAATGTCGGGTGCTGGAGTGAATTTCTACGTAGATACACCATAATCTCCTGTAAGTAACCAGTGTGAAGGTATCGAACTCTACGGTAAGAAATATAAGAAATACAATATATTATAGTCTTTATATAACATAATCCACACCATAGACGATTCCATATGATAAACCATGACAGCTACCTTCTGGAACTGCTGGAAAATTCTTCTGGGCCATCCTCGTCAAACTGAGATACTAGTCGCAAATGTTCAGTGATGTCAAACACAGACTGATCACAGTCCTGAACACTGTCATTGTTGCTAGGCCTTGCTACTCCTGCTCTACCTTGCACCTCAAGGGCTTTTCGCTTGTCCTCCTCCATGGCTAACTCATGTGCTTTCATGGCTAACTCATGTGCTCTATTTTCCTCATATATCCTTAACTCATGTTGCATTTCCAGTTTAAGTAGTTCCAAACTATTCCCAGTGTCCACACTAGTTCCAGTGTCAAATACACGTAATTGAAGGGCTTCTTCCGAAATAATTTCTTCCCGCACCAACTCTGTAAGCACAGCATTTTGCATTGCTGATTTACGCTGACCGTTTTGAACGTTAATTCCATAATGGCTAGCAATGCTAATCCAGTCTGTTTTACGTAACTGATAGGGGCAAAGAGTCTCTAGTGAGGGATCATTAACGAATTTTTCCTGGGAAAACATGATGACTGAACAAATCAAATGACAAGTAACAGTAACTAGGTTACACATAAAAAATCACAGTAGCAAAACTAACAGAACACTAGATTAATATCAGACACAGTCATAACACATTACACAGCAATGCCATATAATGATGGTGTTTGTTTTCAACCTGTAACTTGACAAATTACCTTTAGGCTCCCTGGTCAGGCCCCCATTATTTA